GGCCTTAGTTTAAGCGTAGTTACGGCGGTAAAAACAATTTATCCGCGGTTAAATTATGTGTAACAAGGCCTCTTATTGGGTAAAAATTTGCCAATTGATGCACACCTAAATCACACCATTACGTGTGAAATTTAACCGCCTCACATAAACGGAATAGGTAATTGAGCAGTTATTCTTTTGGACTATTCTGCTCCTATACATACTTCATCGTTATTACTCGAAGAGGGCACGCAATTTCGTCCTTTACCACCCCCTAGAAACCCTCTGATGCTACAGTTTTGACATCATTCTATAATAACTATTGGCCCCGGGTAATATTTCCCAGATAAAAGACATAAGCATGGTAGAATTAGAAATAACATAGATTTATTCATAATAAAAGATATAGTTATTTATATAATATACTAATATATATATATATTATATATGAGAGCGCGAGAGAAGAGAGAGAAGAGAGAGAGAGAGAGAGAGAGAGAGAGAGAGAGAGAGAGAGACATAGATATATCGGCATCAAGCACGTTTAACCGCACAGACAGCGGGACTCGCACAAATTTTTTTAAATACAAATACAGACTAATATTCAGCATTATGATAATAAATGCCATTACATACAAATGATTATGACTATGCCTTTACATTATTAGGCAGTACAAATAGCGATAGAAATATAAATAGCTAGAAGTATAAATGGCTGGAAGCGATTCGACTGAGCAAAATTCAGTTCGACTGTAAATTTAGTTATAAAAGAGTGCGCGTAGACGTTTGGTCACTTCTACCGCATTGCTGAAAGAGTCGAATCTATATATATGGTTGGCGTCGTTGGCAATGCATTCAAACTCTTTCTGGGCGCTGCTTGACTGACTCTTTCCAACCGCCCACACGAAGATTTCATAACCTGGAAACGATAACAGTGTCCTCGTTAATCTCCTGTCTTTATTTCGTAAACATACACATTTCTATTTTAATAAGAAATTATTGATAATAATGATAATAATAATATAATAATTATGATAATAAATATAGTTTAGCACTATATATTTATATAGGTAGCATACAGTGCTTCATTATATAAAGTAAGCGGTATACATTAAGGTTGGTAATAACAATTTTAGTTGCGTGTTTGTTGCCAATTTCGTATCGTATATTTCAGACCACGATTCGAACAAAAGCTTTTGAGAAATAGGAAAGTTGACCACGATTTCAATATGGCGGCAATCGCTAGCTGATGCCACTTGCGCATGCATGCGTACCAAGATTTCTCATCTCTGCCGCTTTTGAGCACGGATCTCCGCCTTGGTTTGACTGACCGTCGGTCAACACGAAAACGGATTTCTGTGAACCGGTCCGACTGTATGTCCTGATTTTTAGATGGTGGCGCCACCGCCACGAGAGTTGGTCTCCAGCAATCCCTCGATATGATCGAATAAAAACATTGTAAAGTTCCGAATGCAGGCAACGTCTAACAGATACAAGGTATCGCTCAACGAGCGCTGCAAGGTTATTGGCGAGGTTGGTAAACCCAGATTTAATGCGGAGAAAACACAGAATGGGTGACCTGGGAAGCTGGTGCATGATGCGCGAACGCGCGTGAAATGATATCAGAATGAATAACGCTAATAAACAAAGAAGAATAGACCGAGTGAAGATCAGGAGCCTGTTGCCAGCAACAATATTTGTCTTAACAGTAGACTTAACATTAACATTATTAAAGTGTTATGTTAACATCAACATTAGCATTAGTTTAACGATGGTTCTGACAACGGCCCCAGATATGCATCAGGCTCGTTGCAACGAGAGAGTCTTTCTATTGGCTTACTGTCGAATGGTATCTTCAGAATATGCGCTTGAACATTGGCGAGTGTGTTCTGCCCGTTGTGTTGCAGATAGTTGAATTTTGTTGCCGTCTTTCCGGTTTCCGAGAACACGATGCCACCTATGCGAATCCCGGCTGATGATACGCCATTCTCCTTGTCCATAAAGCCAACTAGTTCCTGTGAGCAAATGGTGCGTTGTTAGAGACAGGTTTGCGTTGAGCATCATGTGATATTTCGTTCCCGCCAGCGTACTAGGGGCGTATCGTGACGAGCATGACAAAACCGCCGCAATTGTAGAAACACAGTCGTGAAATCCAACCCCAGACGCATTGAGTGCGTTTTCTTCCTCTTTAGAAACTATTGTAAAAGTAGTCCCGGTTTAGATATCCCGCTTGATGAACTTACTCCTTAGCCATATATATGATGAAATTAATGCCTATATAGGGCTCTCCCTTTCTCCGATTAAATTTCAGAAATTAAAACGTCACTATATATGGATGTCTCTTGACAAGCAATTGCCATAAGTTTTTTTTTGCATCAATTGAGGCGAGTCGATTGTATTGTGGAGCAAAACTCCGTTTCGGCTTCTAGCCTAGTTTATATGGTCATATAGCCTAACTGCTAACCGCGGTTATACGTAATAATGTTATTAACAAGACAATATAATAATAATAACCGATATAAATGCACGAGGCGCTCTCGCTCGCGATCCTCGCGCTCATATACATACCTTCAGCACGGATTTTGCCAGGACAAAGGATGAGGAACCGACGCTGCCACTGCTATCGAGCAGCAGCACGATGTCTACTGCCACCTGCTGGTTCGGCCCACCTCCCGTCTTTCTCGCGAACGTTGTTCCTCTCGGCACCGGTGCGTTACGGGAGAACGAGCTCAGAAAGTTGTTCTTCAGCGACGTCGCCGTTCTGCCGATCGGGTCGCTCGCCTGACGGCTCAGATGCAACCTCCCTGTAAACGATGGATCACGCGTGATGAGCGCGTGAACGATGAATCACGCATGATGAGCGCGTGAACAACGAATCACGCGTGATAAACGCGTGAACGATGAATCACGCGTGATGAGCGCGTGAACGATGAATCACGCATGATGAGCGCGTGAACGACGGGTCACGCGTGATGAGCGCGTGAACGACGGATCACGCGTGATGAGCGTGTGAACGACGGATCACGCGTGATGAGCATGTCGTCCATCGTACTTAGAAATTCGACAGCATTCGTGTGAGCCGGTCGTGGTAAAATACGTAAGAGGAGGGGAAGGGTGGGCGGGCGGTGGTTGGGGGAGGGGGAAGGTAAGGGGGAGACGCTCACTTCGGTCACGAGCGATCGTTCGCACGGACGCGCGGCTGCGTGTATCGAAGTACGCACGCGGGCAAGTGACTCGCGCGTTAAATCAGGTTTAGCTCTTTTTAATGCCCGCAGGCGGTGGGATTTTACACGCGCATTCGGGGCCAGGTCCACGGCCAATATATCCTCGGTGTATTTCCCCAACAGCTGCGGATCCGCCCGCTTTTTCCACAACCAAGTACGGTCGGCTAATTAGTGTTAATAACCAAAGTACGGACGCCTTATTATTGTTATTTATTATGATACGAGCGCCTAATATAATTGTTGTTAGTTATTTTTTACTTTGACATGGGCGCCTTATTATCAGATAATCCTGGTAACTAACAATACACTTTCAACAATACAGTGTGTATTGTTGAACACCTTCTAACAATGCACTGTGTATTGTTGTAGAACCTAACAACTGTGTATTTAAATTCAATTTAATTTTCAATAAATTCAATAAAATCAATAAAATAATTTCAATAAATTCATTTAAATAAATGTCAATTTTAAGTTTGATTAAAGCAATATCGATATATTTCTTAAAATAACACTATAGATACTATAACAAAGACGAGATCGTTAATTAAAAATATGTTGGTCCTAAACATCCGGATAAAGCAATTTTAACAAATGCGAAACATTTTTACATAATATGGCACCAGTGGCACCAAAGTTTATAAGAAAAAATATTTTAGGGTATAGTCTCTTGTATAGGTACTACAACAATACACATTATATTGTTAAAAGGTGTTCAACAATACACACTATATTGTTGAAAGTGTATTGTTAGTTACCAGGATTATCTGCTTATTATTGCTAGTTACGAAAGTACGTGTTATAATTATTGTTATATTTTGTTAGTAGTTAAGGCATCTATAATTATTAACAGTTATTTTACGATGTGTCTCTAACTATTGTTATTACTAAGGAATAGGCGCCTAATTATTCTAATTATTAAGGCATATGTGACAAATTATTGTTACTATTAAAGCATAGGTGACAAATGATAACGAATGGCGTATTAATGACACGCCAGTTATGCATATTGTCTCTCAATAACGATGACGTTCAATATATTAGCAGACATCAACCATTGTGCATATATTTCACCATCAAATAGTTAAAAATGTCTCGGCACCGTTACTGTTACGCTCTACTATTTTTAACGGAAAACAAGAGCAACAAAAGAAATTTGCGTCACATCATCAGTTTGTCTTTCAAATATCTTTGACCCGCTGCTGCAGAGAATGAGAAACATCTTGTAATAACTTAAAACCTGATCAATATTCATCTGCTGTTAGGGAAACGAAAATCTAAACGCATAGACGGCCAGGATGAAGAAAGTTAAAAAAAACACAATTTTAATGAGAAGAAGAATTTGAGCAAAAAAGCACAAAAGTAATCGCGACGAATTAACAAATCAGATAATAAGACCAGCATTGTTGAATATGTAAACACGTTATTCGTGAGCGTGTGTTTGAGAAATCCATATCATACACGATAGCGATATGAATATTAATTTCAATAAGTATCTACGTAAACAACATGCCATGGCAACTCATTGTTAAACACCATCAAAAAAGCGATAGCGAGGCTCGGCGAGAGAATATCGCGGGGACAAGACAACTGCGCATGCGCGTGCGTGTCTCGCATAACAGAGTAACGACTCTCTCTTTCTTCTCTATAAATACTATTTACCGGGTATACGTAGAGCAGCGATTAGAACAGGTGTGTTCGTGGAACGCCCCGAGGTTCTGGGGAAATTTATGGAGAGTTATAGTTCGTCGACGCACACTATTCCGACCCGGTTGAAAGAGCAGTAGTGAGCCGGACAGGCTTACATTGAAGACTGAGACTGACGCACGCGCGCTAGAGAGAGAGACATATATCAATAATTTGCGACGTATACTTGCTCGGCATCATGATCTACTGCGTAGAAATGACGGCAAGGCTTGCTGGCATGCTGTTACTGGCCGTTGCGTTAGCTGATTGTGGGTACGTATAGTTGTTAGAGACATCGGTTGTTAGACACATACGCACCTCTAGGGTGTGGCACGCTGTAGGTAACCTAGACATAAACGAATGCGTGTGTGTGCGCTTGTTTGTTACCTCCGCTGCAACGGAGTTGCATGGGAGGTAATGTGATCCCTCTCGTGTGATGCGTTCGTGTGTGTGTGTAGCCAGCAGCGAGCACGATGCATGTTGCACGCGTTGGCGCGATCGATTCAGCACCAGCTCGCCTTAGGCCGCGTGTTTGTTGCGCGTGTGCGTGTGTGCATGCGTATTGTGCGTGTTGAGTATGGCGTGTATGTGCTGCGCGCCGCGTGTTTGTGCGCGTGTGCGTGTGTGCATGCGTATTCGTGCGTGTGTGAGTATGCGTGTGTGCGTGCGCGCCGCGCGCGCGCGCCGCGTGTGTGTGGTGTGTGTGTGTGTGTTGTGTGTGTGATGGTGTGTGTGCGCGCTGTTTGTGCGCGTGTGCGTGTGTGCATGCGCCATGTGCGTGCTGTGAGTTTGCTGTGTGGCTGCGCGCGCGTGTGTGTGTGTGTGTGTGTGTGTGTGGTGTGTGTGTGTGTGTGTGTGTGTGTTAGTGCATGTGTGCGTGTGTGAACGTGTATGTGTGTTTGTTCGTACACGCGACGTGTACGTATCTGCCGTGTCAGCTTTTCTTATACAGCAATAGTAAAACATATTACTATTAAACAGCTAAAAGGTTTACAAAACGAACAGAGCGACTGACGGTAAATAAGTTTTAGTTACGTTTAGTTTAGAATTTTGGTCGTGCATGCAACCACCACAAGATAAGGCGAATTTCCGCATGATTACTATTGTGCCGCAGGACAGTCTAAAATATATTTGTTCTTTCAGCCCAGCGGATCGACTTAAAGGACTCCTGTTCTACGTCATAGGTGTAAGAGCGTACGTTTGACCGTGTATTATTCGACCCCTTGTTGTTATAATGGCAGCGAGCGCACGCCCCACATTCACCACACACACCACACACACACACACACACACACACACACACACCCACACCACACACACAGCACCACACACAACCACAACACACATATATCTTGTTAGTTGTCTGTGTCGTTATAGACGGCATGAGTCCCCCCCACCACAAGCCACACGGCCTACCTGGCAAGTAACTAAGCGTGCAATTTATCGCAAT